CAGCTGCACCAAGACTCATCTCTTTCCTCTCCCTCTCACCCCACCATCCTGATGGGGCTCATTGTACAGTTGGCCCTCTTGCACCTACTTTGCTCAAATATATGCTACAAACATAATAAATGAAAGAGAGATGAAAAAAAGGAAATGCTGAAACTGAACCTAGAGAAATCTAGGAACAAGGATATTCTCTGAAAATTAACTTCTGCTCGTGCAAACAAGCTGTGGCATGCTCAGACCTCCTCAAAGTATTGCATCACAATAATTTGTTTATCTGTTTTCAAGAATAATAAGATTTAAGTCATGATCCACTTTTAAAACTCATTATAAAATGAGGATTTAATTAGTTTTCTTAATCAAAAAGAAACAGAATGAAAACAAATGTTAAATATCTCAAGAAAAGACAATTGATGACTGGCATATACAATCTCAGACTGCCTCTGCACAATCACTGTCTCCAATACTGGGTAGACAATGAAAAACTTTAGTTACTGATTTAAGAGAGATTAGGGATTGCATTTGGGTAAATCAATATTCCACTTTTATAATGAAGATTCAAAGAAACCATTGTACAGGAACAGGCAAAAGTCCTGACATGTAATCCCATAAACCATACCATACTTCTGACAAGTCTCCAGCAGTCATGGTTTGACAGCTGGTTTCTATGTTTTAAAGCAGTCTTCTAGGGATGGAAGTTGGATACCACTGCCACATATCATTACTGCACTCTTTTCTCCTTGGCTCCAGTGACCTGACATTCACAGCAGAGACATCACTCCTGCTGCTTGCTTGCAGTCTATGAGACCTGCTGGCCTGAGCCAGGAAGCTCCTGGTACCCTCACTGGGGTGCCATTTCTCCATCTTGGTTCCCAGTGGATGGCCAGAAATGAATGCCACAGAAGCAGCCATTGAACAGTAAAATAAAATAAACAAACAGAAAGTTGCATTTAAGAGAATAAGTGGAAAACAACATAATAGCATTTAAGGACTTCCTTCTCCTCCTCTTTGCATAACAGAGACACATAAAAGGCCATAAGAAGAGTTAAATTATCTCTTAAATAATGGTTTTGTTTAGAGACTGGATCACTCCACCATTAAAGCCAACTCTCATTAAGGGCTATTTTCCAGGGGCAACTGGCACCTCCTGGCAGATTTTAAAAGACTGGAACTTTGGACATGTCTACCAAAACATCCAGCAATTGTGTTCAGTTTTTAATTCTTTGATCTGCCAGCCCTTACAAGCTAGTAAGGACTGTAATTATGAGCAAGGCCGATTTAACTGAGGAAATAATAATAACACAGTAATTAAACTCTTAGATGGCATTTTTTATCTTCAGCAGTCCAGCCTTTTCCAATGGAGGTAAAGAACACAAAGCCAGAGGACATGATTCAGCCTTGCAGGAGGACCCCATGCTGTCACACACATCAAATCCTATTCATAGCTGTACCCAGCTCTAGGTTTGAAGTAATTTATTTTCCTACCATTACTCCTGCTGAGATGCTCTTTCAGGACCTCACTGCTGCAGTGACTAGAGGCATCTAAATTTCGGTTATACATTTCTTACTCCAGTCTTATTATGCAGCCTCTTTCATTGGTGGAAATAATTACATGCCCTTACTTTTTACTCTCTCTTTGGATGAATTTATGGGCAGTTATCATGGCCTGTCATTGCCTTTTCAGGCAGAAGATAAGCTCGAATTGTTTATTCTCACAAGTTCTCCATTCCCCCACACTCTTCCGCCCATATTTATGTTCTCCTATGCAATCTGTATTTCCTAAATGGCACTACTCAATATGGTGGTAGTAATAATCATCATCAATGAGACAGTAGTAATCATCGTCATCTTATATATATCATCAACATCTTCTATGTTCTTTCCTATTAAAAAGCAATCAGTCACAGAATTCTGCCACTCTTAGGTGAAGTGAATCTCAGTTCTTTCTCTACCATGCTTCTTCCTGCATTTTACTAGCTTAGATTCATCTGAAAAACTACCTATCAACTGCGATCAAAGGCAGGGCACTTGTTTCTTCCCTGAGCTGATAAATCTTGTCTACTCACAAGAAGGGGACCTGCAAGAAAGCTGGAGAGGGACTGTTTACAAGACCATGCAGTGATAGGACAAGGGAGAATGGCTTTAAACAGAAAGAGTGTAGAGTTAGATTAGGTAGTAGGAAGAAATTTGTCACTGTGAGGGTTGTGAGGCACTGTAATAGGTTGCACAGAGAAACTGTGGGTGCCCCAGCCCTGAAAGTGTTCAAAGCCAGGTTGGATGGGGCTTTGAGTAACCTCCTAGTGGAAAGTGTCCCTGCCCATGGCAGGAGGACTGGAATTAGATGATCCTTGAGATCCCTTCCAACCTGAATCATTCTACAATTTAATGATAAGAAAGAGGACCAAGTTTCCAGCATTCACAGGCTAGCACAGTAATGATGATGAGACCAAAGAAACCACTGTGTCTTGCCCACACTCTCCTTTGGAGTGTTCTCAAAACAGTCGAAAGATCAGCCATGGTAAGGCCCAGTCAAAGCAAAAAGAGTGGTAGTAACATACTGAGGGTACATGTAATCACACCCTTTAATTAATTTGTTCTGCAATGTCTCCAACTTGAAAGCCACAAGTCACTTGAGAGTCTTTTTTGCAAGTAAACAAACAACATCAACTACTTCCAGTCATAGCCTGGCCTCTTAGCACTTATGACGAAGTACATTTGGGAGCCAAAGCAAGCAAACATTATGATTCATTTATCCCACAGCTTAGCAGATGGATAAACTAAACCTTTATAACCAAGGCAGAACAGGACCTCTACAGCTTTAAATGAATAGCACCATTTAAGCCTCATGAGACAGAAACACTGGAAATGCTTCATTATCCACAAAGGAATCAAGATGTGCATTTCTACGAAATTCATGTACATGTAAGTAAAGTTCCTGGGGCACAACTCAAAAGATGACAAACTAGAAAAACAGTGAGAAAGAGAGGACCTTCACTTCTTATCAGGACTGAAATACTGACCTTTTCAACACGTTACAAAGGAGTTTGCCGTTTACACCTGAAGTCATTGTCAAGTTCTGGGACAATTTAGACTGGGGCAAAAACTTAAAATGGATAGAAGGAACACACAACTATAAAAGCCAAACTACACTTTGTAGTTAAAGATTCAGAAATGGATGAACTTCCCAAGCTCTAACAAGTGAGCTTGGTTCTACATAATTTTTCAGAAGTTTCCTCATTATTATTATTATTATTATTATTATTATTATTATTATTATTAGTGCCTCGCTGAAGAATTTCAGGAAAATAATAAGCTCTTCTTGAAAACTGACTGGAGTTATATTTCAGTTGCTTTATTAAGCTTTTACATTGTGAATACTAAGTATAGACTGGTAGTTTCCAGTGCAATGAACACATTAAAGCAGAATATATATACACATATATGTATATAAGTGGTTTTCTTATCAATGACATGAGTTTGTCCACTGGAAGCAAGCTAGTTTTATGATATTTCCTTTCCTATATAACTGTTTTTGCCATTTTTCTGCTGTACCCAGCAGAGCCAGGAAGGAGCAGGCAGACACTGTCTGCCATGGGAGCTGAGAGCTGTGGAAAGGGTGACAGGCCCCAGCACACCTGCAGTCACTCAGCAGACTTCCTCCTGGTTCCAGCAGGGATCTCTGTACTTCAGCCATGCACACACAGGACAGCTCTTTCTTTTCTTCCTGTAATAGCTGTGGCACTTCATGACCACACAATCTATGAGTCACAAATGTTTTTCCAAGGCACCAACTAGATATTTTCAGCCTCCCTCTTACGTTGGATTCCACAATATATACATTTGGGCCTGCCACCCAACCTCTTACATTATTTTCATTTAGTGCAAACCTGTGCTTGCTCTGCACAGAGCTGCCAGCATTAAAGTAATTTCCCAAGAAAGCCCAGCAGCTTCGACTACATCACAGGGTGTCTCTGAGTTTTAGACTGATTCTTTTTGTAACCTTTCTGATAACCCAAAATTCAGTGATCCACAACCAGTCATTCCTGTATCCATGAATCCATGCAGAATAGATTCATCTCACTTTGTCTTAAACCGGTGGAAAAAAGACAGACACCTTTGAGATGCAACTCATCCCATTTATTTTAGAGAGAAGTCTTTCTCCATTGAGTAGAGAGGAAACATCAGTGGCTATCTTGGATTACCGGTATTTCTTTAGGCTTTGTGAAGGCTGGATGAGAGGTATGCCACCCTAGGCTATCCTTTACAGCTGCAAGGTTATGGATAGAGAGTTCTCAACTCCAAAATATAAGAATTATGTTCTACTTTTTTTTGCCCTGCTGGACCTGTTGCTTTACAGACTTGAGGCAAAATAAACATAAACACTTTAATTAGCTGTTCATACCTAAAACACTATTCCTGGCAATTCCAAAACACTCATCCTCCTGTATGCATGCGTCCCCTCCCCAGCTACTAGAATTAAAAATGTAACTTTTTTGTCTTGATCAGTGAAGATCAACTGTATGTGCAGGTCAGCCCTTGTTTTCACTCGCTCCCACATTTATTTAAGAGTTTTGTTTGAGAACCAGCAGATGAAATTATTTGGTGCTCTTCACATTATATTTAGGTTTGGTTTGAGTGCTACTCTGGTCAAACATTAGTTATGCTGCCTATTTAGATGGATAACATCAAGACCACATACACTGAAAACTAGAAAATAGTTGTTAACTCAATTTGTGTTTCCTGAAAAAACTTTTGTACAAAAAGCCTCTATCCTGGATGCTAATTCATGCCAAGACCATAGTACACCAGTCTTTTCCCCTCTGTAAGTGTGCCTCTGAAGTTGTTGCAGATAGATGAGCTCTCTGGAAAATGCTATAAACCAACACTGTCCCAGGAACAAGGTAACCTTGTCCTCATTACATCCATAATTTTTCCAAAGAGAAACATTGTGGTGCAGAGCCCTGAATTCTTGATATCTCATATGTCACATCTCAACTCGCACACCAGCATTTTGGTTTGGGTTTATTTGTTTACCATTTTTCCACATAACATTTTTAAAACTTAAATAAACTATGTTGCCCTTGTGTATAATGATACAGATCAGTGTAAAATATTTACATTATGTAGGTCACTTGTTCAAATCTATCTGTAAAATATTTACATTGTGTAGTACCTGAAGACATTTATTTATGAGGAAAGCCTTCAGAATATTATACAGATGGAGTTATCTCTGGGGGAGGGATATTCTGAGACAGTCTATTTAAGCAGAGTGTAATCCAAATAGTGAACAAAATTAGTTTTTCTTTGGAGAAGTTCATAGATATACAGTTGCCGTGACAACTGCATTTGGCTCTGAAAAGGGAAAACAAATGCCTCTTTGTAGATTCAAGTAAAATAAATTTAGTGTGGTTGCACAGAAAAATAGTTTTTTCCCTCTAGTGTCAAATAGCCCTTCTGTAGAAAGCTTCCTTAGCTTCTCATTTTAGACTTCAAGGGTTTCTTATCCTTTTTTTGAAAAAACAGTATATCTATTGGAATTACAAAGGGTGAGAGCACCTCCCTTTCCCTACCCTTCCCATATCCAGAGCATAATTTTGTGTTCCAAAATTCTACAGATTGCACCCTAGTTGCAAAATAATAGAACCAGATTTCCTGCATCTAAGTAGCATAAAAATGCAAACTTATATTCTTAACTTCAACAGATCATAGAAGACTGAGAAAAGTGGGAAAGAGATGTTATTATTGGTCTGTTGGGAATGCAGTATATCAGGTCTGAAATGCTTGCTGTGTCTGATGTGAGAGATAGCCAGGGTGACTTTTTGTTCTGTTGACAGTTCGAGAGCCAAGTAGATTTTACACCTTTGGTATTGTATATCCTTTATCAGCTCTCTGCTTCCACCACTTGTGCATGCACACCCCTCCCACGATCAAACAGGCCAGTGCAACAGGAATCATTGCAATGTACCAGGACAGACCAACAGCTGGAAAAGTAAACAAATTAAGTGTTAGAAAAACAGAAAAAAAAAAACAAACAGAAAAAAAACAATGAACTCCCAGGAACATAATTCTCTACACACAAATTGGAAGAGGAGAAATGACAATAGAAAGGATGTCTGCAAGTTAACCTTCCAGCAGGGCTTATCACCTTTGAAAGGAAGAGATCTATTGATTGGGCACTCTGGAAAATGTGATCATGAAGATAGAAGGAAGGATTGGAAAACAACAGAGAGTGAGAATTTAAAGTTCAATCTTTTGCATACACCTAATTTTCTAAACCCCTGATCAGAGCAGCTGTGTGCTTTCTATCTTGGTTTGTTAAAAGCACAGACATTCCAAGCAGGAAATCCAAGCACTGTATGGGGCAGGAATACTTAACAATTAGTCCACCCTCAAGTTATGTTAATAATTTTTCCCTAGAGAGCAGCTTATAAATTAGTAACAATCAACCCAAGACTCAAAACTTCTTCCTAAATGCAGCCAATTTCCAATGCCAGTGTCTGTCTAGACCATTCTGGATTGTTCCAATGTGTACTGCCTATTCTGTAGTTATTCCTTTGTAGCTCATGGAAGACAAGGGCAGCACATGATCCAGCAAAATGAGTACCAATCTCTCATAGGGTGCTGGAGTGAGTCATAACTGATAATGAAGTCTCAAAGGGTTCATGTGCATTTCTAAGACAGTGTGAGCAAGCTTTGGTGATTCACCAATGTCATGCAAAGAAACAATTAGCATTGCTTCACATTTTTTATACAGCTGGTTCTTGGCCAATGGTTTATCACACTGCAACATTAATTGTGCTGAGTTTAGGTCTTCTCTTCCCATCACTAGGAGCCAAAATAACAACACCCATCATAATTTACACTTCTTGTTATTTTGGCAGTAGTCTGTGCATGAGGAAAAGAAATACTAATCATTTATTCTGTAATTGTCTTTTTTTTCTCTACTTGTTGAGGAACTGGAAGAGATTTGGCCTTGCTGCAAAAACAGTTTGCCAGAAGTCTCATTGGAACACTTATTTCACAAAGTGTATCTAAACTGGAGTTTTATCTTTTATCCAATAAACAGATATACCAGCACAGACAGATCCTTATCCCTGCATAAAAGACAGTAAATTACCTACAGAAGGTGCATTTTGTGAATAGGCTGTATCAAAGACTACAGGTGAAAGAGGCAACGAGATTTTCCCCAGGCAGTAATTCTAGCCTCTTACAGCATAAACAGGATCAGATGATAATTTAGCATTACAATAATAATAAAAATTATCAAAAATAAGCAGTAAAAATAACTACCTTCCTGCTTGACTCTTGTTGGCAGTTCTTGGTATCCATATCTGTTCTGGGCCAGACAGGTGAAGTCTGTGTAAAAGTCCACTTCTTCAACAGAATCAAAAATCAGTGGTACTTCAATGAAGTTCTCACCATTTTCTACAATTTCTCTGGAAGAATAAGAAAGATTTAATGTTAAGTATTTTAATAAGATAGCTTTTCTCTATTTGATGTGTTCATTATAACAGCACATTGCAAGAAAATGCATTGGATATTAGTTTATTTCTGAACCAGTCCCTCAGCATTCAAGGATGCCCGTTGTCTTCAGCCCAGTTGTGCTAATTACTTGAGTCCCAGTGGGCACCTAGCCTTCCTATCACCTACCCTGACGTTTTTGGAGTCTAGAGAAAAAAAAAGACCTGGATTTGTCTTGGAAAAATAAAGAAAAGGGAGGGGGAAAAGGCAAGAGGAATTCTGTGTATCTTTGATACATTAGCATTCTGCAAGGACCTAATTCCTCCTCTCTGCCCACCTGAAGTTAATTCTTACAATCAGCTGGAAGAGGACATATGGAGCACATAACCCTGCAAATGTTCTCTGAGAAAGCGAACCACCATTTCTATCACATGCTCAAAGCCAGTAGCTCAATATAAGAAGCTGTCCAAGAAGTTTCCAGCTAATTTCAACATGGTTATTTTAGTAGTACCACTATTTGAAAGTGGTTTTTTAGCTGGAGTCAAACATTTACCCTTGATATTTTAGTCATTACCAGAGCAGTTGTCCATTATGTGCCTGCATTGCACAGCAGCAATCCCTGAGCGCTCCTCTCAGGAGCTCTTCACCAGAGATTTCTGCAGGGAATTTGTTTTCCCAGTGGCATTTGAGCTGTTTTGTCATTTGTCAGCTGTTTTGCTGCCATAATGAGGGCTTCCAGCAGAACTGGGGTGTCTCACACACTGTGGGTCCTGCAGGAACCTCATCTGTCACTATCAGTGTGCTTGTGCAATTGTATGATAATATATAACAGCAATAATGATAGTAGTTAGGCATAACAAAAATAATTTTTAAAGTCTAAGTAATAAAGTGTTGCTCTATTCTAAAGCCTGCAGAGACTATACCTGCAGTACATTTTTATGGTTCCTGGCCACAAGTTCAATGCATTTTCACTTATCCGTATAAACAAGATCAATTTCTCCAGTCATGCTGTGGGGAATGGGAAAACACCTAAAGGCCTGGGCATTCACCTGAGTTCTTATGTTACCTCTGGCTGCAGCATGTCCAGGCTGTTATCTGGCACTGGTGGCCACAAAGTGACAAACCATCTCACATCCATAAGAGTTAAACATTCTTGTCCCTCAAAATACAGATGCTACACCCCCAAACTCTGTTGGAAAGGGCCCCTAGCCCATGTTAAACCCTAATCAATAGCCAGAAGCCCTTTGGGAAGGTGCTAGCTGATGTGTGACCAGTTTAGGAAGTAACAGCAGAGGCAATGGCATCTCAGAGCCAAGGAACCTTCTAGGGTCGTTCCATCAGTACAGGCAGAGCCACCAGGCAAGGGTAATGGTCTGTTTTGGAACTCCAAGCTTCATGAAACAAGAAACTAAACAAGCTGATTTGGTACTCAGTGAAGAGACTTCAGACAGAAAGTTTTGTTCACATTTACAGAAACAGTAGAGATATGCCCAGATGAAGTGAGTTACTCAGGTAACTCATCACAGGTACAGAATGCAGGTATCTTGCCCTTTCCTAGTGGGAAAAGCCTTGAGGTATATAGCTATGAGGCAGCTGAGAGAAGGCTCCTCAAGACTGAGACACACTATGAATCAGGGCAAGAGGATCCTGTTTCTCTCTCCGACCAGCATTCCCTTCAGCACTACCTCAGCATCTGTTCTAGCACTCAGCAGGTGTCTGTGTGAGACAGTTTAACTCACTAATGTGGAAAAGAACAAGCTTAGGGGAGGAAACAGTGTTATTAAACAAAACAAAAACCATCAAACCACTAGATAATTTTCTGTTGTCTCAGTGTATTCTGAGAACCTCATGAATGTCAGGGAGAGAACATTGCCACTTGCTGGCATGAGGTAAGGAGAGTGGTAAGAGAAGCTCTGGGAAGGATCAAGTCTCCTTGCTTTCCAATGCAGCCAGCCCTTACAACAGCTCAGTTGCTCATGAAAATGAAAATGAAAATGAAAATAAAGTTTGCCTCAAAGTTGTCTCATTTGCAAAATGCATGCACAAAAAACAGAGATAAAGCATTTATTTAATTGACTGGTTGGACTTGGGGGTTTATTTGCTTGCCTGCCCATTTTTTTCCTCATCTCTCACCTTCACTTCAGATCTGTCCATTTCCCATTTCATTACCTGGCATTCAGCTGCACTGAGAGCCCCTGTAGCACTGCAGGTTAGAACAATAAGCACAAGGAAGCACTTTCAGGCAGACTTACTGTCGTTCCCCCTCTGTAACTCTGCTTTGTTTATAAACCATGTCAACGCTGCTGTCATTTGCCAGCCATTCTACATCAGTTTGGAAATGGCTGCTCAGCCCAACAAACACTTTGCACGGGAGAGTCATCTTGGAGCCTGTCAAAAAAAAAAAAATAAAAATTGAAAAACAATTTAGACACATATGAAGAACTACTCTTTCTTTTGTTGAAAACCAACAACTCCAGTGAGAGATCCCACACACGTCAAGAACCACTATTTTCAAAACTGAAGTTAATCTCCAGATTGCTTTTGATCCCCTACTCCTTGGCAGCAAGACCTTTCAGTGTGGCAGTCCTTCCCACTGCTAACCAAATAATTTCCCTATTGCAACACCTACCAGGCCTTGCACTAAACACATTCCCCAGAGGCAAGGCTGTGTCCCCACGGCCTTGCCCCTTCTGACATCGTGCAGCCCGAAGGGCGCTGTGTGATCTACCCTTCTGCAGCAGCTGCATTAACCAGCAGCACAGCTTCACTCAGAGATGCTGCGGGTGAGGACATTCAGCTGAAGGTTGGACTTCCAGGGATAAAGTGATTTTGCAGAATTTCTGAGATTTTTAACCTCTATAATTACTGTAACTCAGGAATAAGGCGATTTCAGACTGATGTGTATCTATATTATATGGAAGTATATCTATAAACCCAGAAGACAGCATCTGGTTGTAGACGTTAAAAAGCAAAGAATACCCCAGAACCAACCCTCAACCAATATAATTGAGATCAAGAACCTACAACAATTTATACCAACAAATTACACAATAAGAGGACCTGCTCTAGTTTTTCTTTGATTAATATGATTGGGCCTTACCAAGAGCAGCTGATGTTGTCTTTTGGGCTGGATACACAATTATCGGGGTAATTCTCTTCTCTTGCTCTTGGCAGAAAAAGAGAACAGAGTCAGTGCTAAGACAAGAGAAAATGTGGCCATGGCCTCAGAACCAGAAACACGCCACTTCACCCAACACCCGTCGTCTCCCAGAAAGGATTTGATTGCTAGAGTCGCCGAAAGCAGAGACACTGCCGCTGCCTGCCGGGGCCCCGCGGCTGCGGGCACGGGCGGGACCCGCTCCCCGCGGGCCGCGGGGACGGCGGGAGCGACGCGCGCCACGGGCGGCCCCTGCCGGCCGCTCTGCGCAGCAGCGCCCGGGCGCCGCCGTGCCCGCTCCGTGACACCCGGCCCCGCTCCGTGACCCCCGGCCCCGCTCTGTGACTCCCGGCCCCGCTCCCTGACACCCGGCCCCGCTCCGTGACACCCGGCCCCGCTCCGTGACTCCCGGCCCCGCTCCGTGACACCCGGCCCCGCTCCGTGACACCCGGCCCCGCTCCGTGACTCCCGGCCCCGCTCCGTGACCCCCGGCCCCGCTCCGTGACTCCCGGCCCCGCCCGGGCCGCCGCCGAATGGCTCCGAGCTCCCCGAAGGGCTCGGCAGTGACACGCCACCTCCTGCCCCAGATATCAATTGTTCCGTTTAACAAGCGCAGGTAGCTGATGAGGGAGCCCCGTTCTGCCAGGGTGGTGCGGGAGCCCCTTCAGGGCCAGGACAAGCACTCCCTTGGCTTGAAAGGCTGAGCATGAGCTCCTCTCAATAATTTTATTAGCAAAGAAGAGGTTTTCTTATGTGCTGTGATGCTTTAATGTGTCCATCATTGAATCATGGAACCACAGAATTGTTTAGGTTGGAAGGAACCTTAAATGTTCCTAAAACCTTTCCTAAAAGGTTCCTAGGATTACTGGTTCCAACCCTCCTGCCATGGGCATGGACACTTTCCACTAGACCAGGTTGCTCAAATGCCCATGCAACCTAGCCTTGAGCACTTCCAGGGAGGGAGGTGGGGGCATCCACAACATATCTGGGCAACCTGTGCCAGTGCCTCACTACCCTCACAGTAAAAAACTTCCTCCTAATAGCTATTTTCAACCTGCCCTCTTTCGGTCTGAAGCCATTCACCCTTGTCCTGTCACTTCATGCTCTTGTAAGAAGCCCCTCTCCCATTTATCTTATAAGCCCCCGTCATGTACTGGTAGCCCACAATTCGGTCACACCAAAGCCTTCTATTTTCCAGGCTGAATGAACCCAATTCTCTCAGCCTTTCCTTGCAGGAGAGCTGCTCCATCCCTCTGATCATCTGATACTACACTTACCAACAGTCTCCAGTTGAATTCTCCTGGTGATTTCATATGCTACACCTTCAAATGGAAATGACATCTTGCAGGTGTAATACCCCGCGTCTGTTGGTAGCACAGATGTTATGATCAGAGACGCTGAACCTTTCAGAATGATGAATCTTTCATTCTCTTCCAAAGGCTGAGCATCCTGGAGAAAGGACAGTAACTGGTGTTATGACTCAGATAGCTACACCCTGTGTAACTCTCAGACAAATTATCTCTGTCTCTCTGTTATTAGAAGTTCACTTATCACTGGGAAATCTGAGCAGTTCTGCTTTCCCACCAAAGCACAAGTTCTTTTAATGTGTATCCATCTCTAAAATGCCATGTGGCACTATATGTGTGAAGTGTGAAGAATTGCTATTTTAAGCTATCTATAATGTGTGCACATAGCTCTTCCACAGTGCACAATTTAAGATGGAAAACATACAATAGGCTTTTCCTTGAGTCATCTTAAGAGCAATCACACAAGATTTTAATACCTATGGAGGTTTTCATAATGTTATCCATAGATATCCATGTGTATGTATCCATACTTCCCATACATGACTACAGAAGTGTAATATTCTAAGGCATTCTTTGAAGACAAATACTTGTAATCATGCAGGATTTCACATAACTGTTACTTACGCTGTAAACTATTAGAAATTCCTGCTCTGTATCCATAAGGCTCTGTTCATACCTGGTCTGGAGACCTGCTAGGAGAAGTTATGTTCCTCCCTCATGAAGGTGGAGTAGCTCTTTCTTACATTTGTAACAAGAACCATATTGAGGGGGCAGCCTTTCACTTAGATAAAGTGGGTTAAGTTCCCACTTCTGAAGGGATTCGTGAGCAGCAACACTTTGCTGGTATGGTACAGATCATAGCCTAAGTACTGCAAACCAGCCTGTGTATTGCATCCTATGGTAAGGCTACAGCTGCACCAGGCAGAATTTGTGATTATAGTGGGAGTGTAAATAAAAGCTAAATCGAGTTATTATTGAAATGGAAGAAGAATCCCCTGCTCTCCAGTGTGAAATTGAACAGCCAAAGATGTTGCATTTGATCTTAGAGGCAAAACCAGGCTTGCCTACTTGAAAAGCAGCAAGTTGGCCAGTTAAGCAAGAGAACACTCCAGGCATTATTTAATTCATCCAGTATTTCCAAATGGTGTATTCCAGTTGATTAATGAAAGCTACCCCACCTGAACATGGAGGCAGTATCCCTGGGATGTCCTACTTTATGGGATTCACTAGAGGGGCCATGAAAAGAAGCACAGTGTCAAAGAGAAGGGCCTGATATCAGGTGGCACACCCTGGAGTTGGGTAAGTAATCTAGCTTTATAAAGAGTTGCACTGCCTATGAGAGCATAGAACGTGGAACACTTCATTCTGTGCTGAGTGTGCCCCAGAGAACTTTTCTTAAAATGTATACATCTGCCCCAAAATCCCAGTATATTACACTATGCTAGTGACTTAAACAACATGATGTTCAGGATAAATGTAAAGTGGATATTTATGTGCACAGTTGGGATAAGGCTGTGCACAAAGACGAAGTACATGTTCTACCTTGTACCACTTGAGCTCCAGGCTTGTCCTGTTTGGTGTAAAATCCCACAGGTCAGGACAAACAATCCTTCCAGAGGTGAAAGTGAAGAGGACCTGGGGGTAGGCAATCTCCCAAGCAGCTGTTTTCTCCACAACTGTGAGGTGAATGGAGACCTCGGCACAGTAAGAGGAGTTCCTGGTGACAGAGCAGGGAGAGGTGAGACCCCAAGAGTGGTGAGAGGAACTCAAATAATGCCCTTGGTTTCCTCCTGGCTCCATTTCCCTCATTAACAGAGGCTAAGACTATGATCACACCAGGTGGAATGCTGGAAAATCACTGGTACTGTTCTTTTGGCACAATCAAAACATGTTGCTGACACATCTGCCTCAAGACCTTCAGTCTTTTCTTTTCTTTTTAGTACAACAAGTTTCCTGTGTACCTTTAGGCTGCAGCACGATTTTAACTGTGTGAGGAAGGGGAACATGTTGACCTGAACAGTAGCAGATGTGTCATGAACCCTCCCCCATTTCCTTGGAAGAGGTTTTGACTGTGAAAACCCTAATGATTACATAAAAAGCTAAAAGCATGTATTACAATACAGCTGCAGATACTATTGCACAACCATAGACATTTTCTGCAAATACATGTAATTTTCTGTAGCAAATAAGGCATTCTGCCTTTGAAAGGTTTGCAATATTCAACTTTTCTTTCTGGCCCCAAGTGGCAATCATTTCCAGTCCCAAGGAAGACCACACTGGGAGAGACAGATGCTTAAATTCCACCCTTTACAACCTCAGGAACCCTGCTTCAGAGATGCCTTTACTCAGGACAGTGCATAATCCTTGAAGGTGCCAGTGAAGCCAGGGAGGCTGGGCTGCCACCTCCAGGAGAGCAGCTGTGGGCTGCAAGCAGGCAGAATGACAATATTGCCAGGGCACTGTGGCCATCTGTCATGTACAGGCCAGATGCCCAAATCCAAAATATTTTTTCCACAGAACACAGAAGCAGAGATCTGTGATAATTTGCTGCTACCTTCATTTTACAGAGTTGATAAAAAGATCTGCTGCCTTCCCTGCGGGATAATTTGTAAAGGAAATGTAATTTGCTTATGCTTTATTAATCATGTAATAATGTTAGCAATGAAGTTACCTGCTTGGCTCTTGCATGTCGTTTTCAAACAAATTTCACAGCATTTTACTAGATCTCTCAGTAACACTGCCACAATGTTATATATTGTCAAAGTGAGACAGAATAGTCCAAAAAGAGGATTTAAAAGCACTCTTGGACATCTCAGGCAACTATTCTGCTCCAGAGCATTTACAACCTTTTGTTGTTTGGGCTTCACTACCAGTATGTTCTCTTCTGCTCCACAACTTAAATTGCTGCTGAGACGTGGGGAAAGGCCAACCTGAGCATGATTTCTCAGCTTGTCCATCTCTTCTACTGCTAACACGCATCCCTCACAAGGTGTGCCGTGAAATCAAGGAGACCTTGCTGTTCACAAGCAGCTCCAGGGATGTAGAGATATGTTCTCCAGGATAAACCCCAGAGCTAATTGCCAGAGGTATACTGAGAGGCCAGCTGGCAGCAGGAGATGGCAGGGGACAGGGACCTGGAACATCTTCAGAAGTTCAGGCTCTAAGGGTGATGGGATTTTTTGCCTTCCTCAGTCTTTGACAAATCCAGACCCTGGCATCTCTTTTGACATGGTACAAGTGCATTGTCAGATTGAAAACACCCAGGAAAATAATTACTAATATGGCTGGAAAGAGCCATGGCTAACATGGCTCTGCAACACCAAAAGTCTGGTACTAGTCTAGCAAATACACACTGTGTCTCATGAAAAGTCTTCCAACAATACCAAATCAATCAAATTCTGGTTTAAAATGTGACTCAGAAGAAGAGTGAAGACCAGGGATATGGAAGAGAGAAGAGGAAAGGCACTGCAGAGCCACAACGCCTTCTATGTGCTTCATAAGGCAATCTGAGGTGCAACAGCAAAGCCACTGCCTGCACCATGTCCCACTGATTGGCTGAGAGGTAACTAGAAAAAACTCTGCAGACACTATTCTCCTATATGATTGCAGCCAAAGTGGCAACCCTGTGTCAGCATTTGTCCAGGTTTCAGTACTATAGGAGACACACAACACACTCTAAGGGTCCTGTCTTCCCATATTTTTTCTCTCTAATAACGTCAGCAAGGAAATTATCCAGAAATACTCTGAATGTAACTAGAGTTTAGAATCAAGGTAATGCATTTAGACATAGTCATTTTGTTAGCGAACTAGATTTTCTTTTAAATACCTACCTTCTTGTGCAGATATATACTCCTGAGTCTTCTAGCATCACTGGTAAAAACCAGAGTGCATTTTCTTTTGCCCAGATTCTTGAATCTTCATCTCTTCCTGATATCATGGTGTTTGAACCATTTTTATACCATGTGATATTAGAGGTCAAAGCAGAGAAATCCAAATGTTTGTATCTGGGGGAAGGACATTTCAGAACCACAGGTTCTCCATGCAGTTCATAGAAGTGTTTGAAAAACACGGTGTGATCTGAGCAGTTTTCTATACAAATCAGAGATATTTTTACGTTACTGTCAGAGAGGAACACTTAAAAGAATGGTGAGGGAAACAGAAGGAAAAAAGACAAATACACTTACCTGTGTTTTTGACTTGCTGAAGTCTGAAAGCAGAGGCACCTACTGTGCACGTCACCAGGACAAAGAAGAGCCCATGCATTTTTTTCCACAGGAAGTCAGAAGAAGAGAGTCAAAGGAAAGTGTTTTGAAATCTACAAGGAAGTTTATTACAAGACAGATTATATAATCAAAATACTCAACATTATCTAAAGAATTAACTGCTATTTTTCTCACTTCAGACCTGGGGAGCTTTGGTCCATCCTCAGTGAGCAGAAAGGTGTCTCCATCCCTAGTTTATGGGAGCAGAACTGTGGAACCAGAACATCTGGCTTGGCATACACATATCACTTCTAGCCCTTCCCTTTCACTCCAGAAGATGAAAACAGCATACCACAGGATGCTGATGTCCCCACAGCTTTTCAGAGCAATAGCTACAGGTGAAAACATTTACCTCTGCTTATTCTGTGTTAAGATGTGACTGAGGCACAGATCAGCTGCTTCGAGTGAGCTGTAGTGTAGTAGCTTGGCTGAACACAGGAGCAAAGTAGGCCAGCTAGTGTGAATCACACTGCTACAAGCAGAGCAAGCTTTCTTGTCTCCAACAAATGTTTCTGTTGGGACAAAAAACATTGACTCCCATGGCATGTATACCCATCTTGATGGTGGTACACAAGTTTTCAGCATGGAGACTATTACCATCTGTTCTAAACAATAAAAAGATAAGGAAAACCTTGAACAACCTGTCCTGAAAATCAGACAGGGTGGCTGCTAAGGGAAAACAAAATTCTTCTCTGCCAGTCATTCATCAAGTGTCATCTGTATGGACCTGACATGAGCATGGCAGTGTCTGTGTACATCACTGAATGCTTCTAATCTGCCATGAGGCCTCAGCTCCTGCTAGTCAGTTGATTGATCATGCTTTACCTTGGTGTGCCACGGGCAAAAATATATAAAACATGCTGGATAGAGGAACTAGTTTATACTCCGTGTAAGGAATTTATGAACAATACAATACACATATCCACATGATACATTTCCATTTTATGTATAGAAATGGAAATTGCATGCATTTAACATTACCTTAAAACTATGATGAATATTAAATGACTGTACAACTATTCAAATCAAAACCAAAAATAAATATTTCTACCATATAACAAAGCCATATTCATTTGGGCATATTTTTGTATTCTGTCATGCTCATACTTCCAGCATGGTTTGAATCCAAATTTCTTCCTGTTCTAGTAGCTATACTTACCTGACATCTGATAGTTTGACTATAATAAACTATTTCCAGATTATTGTCATCTGTACAACACCACAAAACCAACCTCTTTCTCAATAATACTCTTTCATAACCATAGGTCATCTCCCCTACTCTTAGGTCTGCACAGATTTCCAGGGAATTGCTATGGAGCTCTAGCCTCCCTCGGATACACCTGAACCAGGTGCTAGAGGCATTAACAAGCCCCACAGTTCACATTGATACCCTTTAGCAGGTGAGTTTCTCTCTCTTCAGAGCCTTTGCCTGACAAAAATTCTTAGTTATTCTGTTCAGAGCTTTCTGGTCCCTTTGGTTTAGTAACTAACAATCTCCATAAGCCATTTGAGGGTTTAGGGAAGGTTTTCATTCCCAAATTTCAATCAGATTCACTTACCTGTGTTTCTGTAATCTTTCATGTATAAGCATCTCACAAAAAGAAGCTGTCAGACTGAAAATTCCTGATGAGGACCTTATATAGGGTTGAGTTCAACACACAGCGGAAACTTGTTTCTCATTGCCCAATCAGATTTGTGTCAAAACCAAATAACGTTTTAGACCCAACTTTCTTTCCTTCCGTAGGGTGAGGATAAGTGAAACAGAGGCAGGCACAGAGAGAAAATATGTGTTTGGATTTCCCAAAAAAAGGGGAAGTGACTGCTAAATATATGACTAATCTTCCCCTTTTCTGACGAATGGTAGCTTGCATACATTCATGTCTTCACGTGACTATTTCATACGCTACCTAAAGTAAAAATTTTCATGGGTAACAAAAGGTGCACTGCAGCATAGTCAGCAGCTAAATAATTGCAATCATCACATTTTGTGGTTTATCAAGCTCTTCATGGACAACATAAATCTTCTGTGATTTCCCAGATCCTGAATCACAATGTGAATCACAAATGTGCTGATTCCCCTTTCCTCTCACAACATCCATTTTAGTGTGACAGCCTGCATTAAGGCTCTCTTGCAATGGGGTATGAGGAAATAACATCTAGAAGCAAATTATGGTTTCAGGCTCATGAGAAGGAGTAAGAATAGGATTATGAATTGTGGCAATTTTGGCCCTTTAGCCTTTTAGAAGAGGGTAATCAAGTGAGGGACTGCAGTTCCCAGATAGACTAATATCCTCAGATACATCTAAGATGGATCAACACTTTTCAACAGATTCCTTCAGAAGAGTTCTACCCTGGCTGTCTTTTTATCCAGAAAATATCACGTGCAGCAGTATGACGACCTCAAGTATCAGTTGTTTATCTGGAGGTGCAAAAGTCTTGTTTAGAATAACTCAGGAAGAAAGGAAAGATACAACAAGAATTTAATTATTTTTTAGTAGATGTCTGCTGAGAAGGCCACGCTGTTTTGCGGTTAGCTATCACTGAGTATTTATAAACAGAAATGTGCAAGTCTAGCAACTATATATATAAAGAGACTCTCTTAGGGAAGCTGGTGTCATTCTGTGGTTTTACTCTGCTGATGATTCATTGATACAGCTCAAGATGCTGGAGCGTAGCTGTGAAATTCCTGACTTGAAGACCAGACTATTCCCCATATGTCTCACTCATTGCTCATCTCACTAGATAGATATTTCCCACACCGGGGCTACATGCAGTTCCTTGCCACAGTTGGGTGGATTTTGCTGTCCTTGCACATGCTAATAAAATAATAAAAATATCAAGAAATATCTGGTCTTTTGGAAGCTCCTTGCAACAGAGGCTTTCAAAACAACTCCACAAGCAAGGTATGTCTGTCCATTATCCCTAGTCAACAGAAGTCAGGCATCATGGAATGGGGATTACACCATTTCTACAAGGGACAGTTAATGTGTCAGGTTCTTGAAGCAGCTCCCAGGTTTTGTTGCTTCTCCTGGAGGAACTTACCCTGTTATAGTGGCTCTGTGGCTGATAATGTTTGGCATCCAATAACTGCAATCCCTTGGACTTCATTATTTATTCTGTTATCCAGTTTGGCTAAGCAAACTTCATGCAATTAAAAACTGAAGTAAATTTCTCTGGTTCACATAAGAAAAAGGTGGCAAGGTATTAAGAAATCCTGAATGTTGGAAGCTGACTAGAAAGCAGATACAAAGTAAACCACAACTATTGCAGCAACACATGTTCTTGGGCTTACTGATACGAGAAAACCTGGTTTAAATAATTTATAATACCCTTGTGCACAGTTCCAAGATGGGGTCTTGAGGAGCAGAGGAAAGGAAAGGAAAGAAATTGAACACTTCAACTCTGAGAATCACCAAATAACTGGGACAGAAAGAGAAAACTAAACTGAGGGATTAGCACAATGCACAACAGACTCCAAGAATACAAGAATTTGCATGCTTAGCCAGAGGAATAAGTGCTGACATACCCCAGTTTTATATGACTAAGTGAGAGAAACAGAAGGCAATGTGTCAATTTGTTATGAGGGAGTGCTAGTTTGGCCAGAGCAGTCATGGCTGGGTTACAGATTGTTTTACCACTATAGGTTCCTAGGATTTCCAAAGACCTTTTCACTGCAATAGAAAGCAGGCACACTTGAAAAATAATTATACTTTCAAGAGCTGGAAGGGTCAGGGAGGAGGAGACCCTCAGTGTAGAAATCAAGAAGGTAGAAGGGACAAAGTAAGGTCTAGAGAGGTCCAGAGTATCTGTGCACAGGCACACGGCCATAGACTGGTGAAATAAAGAAATTATTTCTGAAAAAGTGGGGGTTTGCTGGATTTTATTAAAAGTAGAAACCCATCCCTGGGCACAGCCTACTTGATATGTGATGCTTGATGTTATGTGGAACAGCAGTGTCTGTTCCAAAGCCGTTACTGCTGCAAAGCTGAGTTTGTTGAAAGCAGTAAAGTGATATTGCTCTCCCTATAAACTGATCTGAAGAGGATAATCTAAACTACTATATAGTGACAGTCTAAACATCCATGTATGTCTCAAATGGCAATAAAAGTAAAAACTATGTCTTACTGCTTTTCCTTCTCTTATGGATAAAATGGTGCATAGATATACTGAATTTTGATCAAGGTTCGGGTTAGTGATCAGACAACAAAAGAGCCTAGGGCTCCAGGGACAATGGGAATGGAAAAGGCATGCCAAAAGGACCATAGCATGGCCTTAACATTACTGACCCTATATCTTTCTAATCTGGGCCATTTACAGAACCATTCACTTCAGAAAAAAAACCTCTAAGATTGTCAAATTCAACCATTCACACAGCACCGCCATCACTAAACCACGTCCCCAAGTGCCATATCCACATACATTTTAAACCCTTCCAGGGATGGTGATTTCACCACTTCCCTGGGCAGCATATTCTAAAGCCTGTCCATCCTTTCATTGAAGAGATTTTTCATAATATCTAATCTAAACCTTCCCTGCTACAAGCTGAGGTAATTTTCTCTTGTGCTGTCACTTGTTACCTGGGAGAAGAGACCAACCCACTCTTGCTACTTTTGAGGATCCTGCTCTTTTCCCAAGCTACCAGCCATTCTCCATGCTCGGATGGAGCAAGCCTACAGCACACAGCACCTACCATGCCTTAGTGCAGGGCTCCAGGCAAGGCTGCAGCACCCACAGTCACTTGCCACACCAGGGCTGGGAGGAAGGGCTAGCTGGGAGTCAGCAATGCTGAGGAGAACAGCAAGCAGACATTTCCCACAGCTTTGCTGTCTTCTCAGACCATAGGCAGTGAGTCAATAGGGGAATTAGGGACAAGCTAGGAAAAAAGCAAACCTGAGACTGCTGACTAGTGCTTTTTTTTTTTTCCCACCAGTTCCAAAATCATAGTGTTTGCTTGCAATCAGGATCAGTCTTCTTTATATATGAAAAAATATAATGTGCTCTGTGGTTATTCATGTGAGAAGTGTTAAGGGATTTAAAAACACAGCAGTCATTACAAAAAGCCCACAGTAAGAGCAGACAGAGGAGGAACTGTGTCCAGTTGAGGATCATTAAATCATATAGAGTTACATGAGCCAGAACAACATGGACAAAAGAAAATTTCTAAACCAGTTATGGTGCTTGACTTAAGTGGCCAGCCCAGCAAACAGGGATTTCAGAGGCAAAGAGAAAAACAGATGACAAAGATTTTTGTTCATAATTGCCTTTTTGTTGCTGAACTTAAATTTAGTAGGTAAAAAAGTAACTTCATAGCTATGAAAACATATGGTCTGTGATAAAGGAAAAATTGAGCTGGTACGGATCATACATTATTGTAGGTGTACTCAGAGGGTAATATTAAGCATTACTTTTTTATTACATGTTCTTGAATCAAGTATTTGTTTCACCAAGAAGATGAAATCATTTATGTAATACTGGCAGTAAGTCTTCCATTTGTCTTAGATTTACTGTCCGTCTGACACACAAGTATATTTCACACACTTGTTTTAAGAAGCAGTCATATGAAATATACATAGCAGATCAAATGACCCACGGTATTTGTTCTCTACTTCACTACATTAATGTGTAATTAATTATCACAGGATTTGGAGAGGGCTGGGGTGGGAGACAATGCATGAAAGTGCATATGGTATAGAAAGAGAGACAACAAATTTGCAGTCATACTTGGTATTCTCTCTTTGTCCTTGTCCTGTGTGTAGTGTCACAATGATCAGCAATTCTGACTGGCATCAAGAGTTGCTTAAGAAAAAATTGAGCAAGACTTACTCTGGATCTGTGAAATAATAGAAGAGGGGTTCACAAATAAATGAATAGCAAATAATTAGATGCAACATATACTGCTTCTAAATGAAGAGGCAGGGGAAGAACCAGGGTATGCAACAGCAGGAATTAGGAGAAATCAGATCAATTCAGAAGAAATAGAACCAATCCCAACAACACCATTGATCTAAAAAAGAAATACATAAGCAACCAAATGATGCTGCAAGAACATGTATGTGCTTGCAATAACAAGCACGTAGGCCCAGTCTATCTTTTTATCTTTTATCTGTTCATTTGGTGGACACACACCGTGAAGCACTGAAGAATGCCAGATTTTGTGTTATTATTCAGGTTAATGAATACATATGTTTTAATAAAAATAGTTACCATCAGCCAAGCTTGGAGTGTTCTGCTACAACAGCTGACCACGTAACAAGAGTACAAATACACATGAGGTAACAAAACTGATCTTGGGAGGATTTCAACCCTCAAATGCCCTTACTTATGCCCTTCTCCAGCACATAATGTTCTGTACCATGTTGAAAAGGAAGTCATCATTTCAGCAACTGTTTCTAAAGACTTTGGGAGCGTTTTACACAAAACAATATCGAATATTATTTGTTTTAATAATTTCTATCAATCATATTTTGAAAAGAAAAAGAAGATATTTTAACAATAGTGGTGCTTTGCTATGCAAATTTTCCTTAATTACAAGCTGGAAGAGTTTTCATTCAGACTTAGGTGATTGGAAGGCTTTACCATTTGTAGGAAAATCTGGGTAACTTTCATTAAAGTCTG